AAACCTTAACACACAGGTAACTCCTGTGTAGCAGCTAGTAATAAATCACAGCTGTATATGTAACTTATCTTTGTGGAACTGATTTGATACCTAATTTATCCTATTAACCCCAATTATTAAATATCCAGTACATGTAAACATTTTCCCCAAATACCTGCACCTCTGCATAATTACTGTTCATTATTCTTTATAGGTTGTGCTTGGATTCCCTTCGTATCCACGTTGATATACTTCTGCTGAGGTATATGGGGAAGGATGTACTGCACCCTCTTCCTCCTCATTCAGCTCTCCAGATCTAATGCCACCAAGCCGTAGAGAATCTGTTTCCTTCACATCTCCAATGTATGCTTCTTCCTTATCACTCTCACTACTTGGATCTCACTTGGACTCTTGCAACTAACCCCTAAAATCAGTGCTACATTCAATCAAAAGACAGTGTCTAAACTACATGCAAGGCATGAAAAATAATGAATAGAGGAGACAAAAATAATATGACCTCTGGTTCCTTTCTTTAAGGAGCATTCAGAGTAACTAAGCTGTTTTCATATAAAACAATTAGAGAATAAAGATAGAATTCCATATAACAAGTTGTAATCATGCCATACATCAACATGCTATTTGTATCATGTAAGCAGCCAAATCAGAAATTTAAGTTATATTACAAATGGCAGCTTAGTTTTACTGAATTTCTACATTTTAAAGCAGGTTTGCAATAAGTGTTTTGGGGCTGAATTATTTTGATACTATTAAGGCTCAATTTTTCTTTAGTTTATTCCTTTTTCTCTTTTTCCTCAATTCTTGATTCCCAGCAGCCCCACTTTTAGCTATTCCCATTGATAACATTAAGTAGATAATCCTAATGCCCAATATACTTTGTTCACTGTAGACAAAATATAAATGATGCTTCTTTAAGGTCACAGTTAGCTGATCAACACTACCAACACTTATCAACACTAAAGGTAAAACTAATTCTTTTAGTCTCATTCCATTTTCTCTCCTGTGTAAATCTAAATCATGCTCTAGGCAATTTGAAAAGACTGACTTGGAGTAGACTGAGCTTGAGTGTCCTCACACAGTTATGTCCAAAAACTAGTCCTCTATCAGCTGCTGAAGGTCAGCTTAGGCTGCCTGGAGGCTAGGGAGCTCAGCATGGAACAATGGCAGGAAAATAAGAGTTCCCTTCATTCCTTAATTCACATGCAAGTGAGGTGCCAATCAAGTGCTGACAAGCATGGAGAAACCAAAATCAAAAGTGGGTAGAGATACACTTTCAAAAGGAGCAGTTTTCACACATTTCTAAGTGATGTTTTTAATGATGGTTGTGAACTGCCATTAATACCATAGAAAATGAGATAAAAGTAGTAAGATGGATACTAATTTTATATCAGCTGAGATGATTCAATAATGAAATTTACTTACTAAAAGGGTTTAATGTATTTTATAAAAAATTATCAACACTCACTTGGGCTAAGAAAAAATATCTGAATGCAAATTGATTTACTGAGCACTGCAAACAGGGAAGGTAAGGTGAGCTAAGTGGAAACTAGGTATTGATAAGGAAAGCTAACTCATCCCAAATGAAAGAAAATTTTAAGGTTGCTTGATTTTGGCAAACCAGCCATTGAATAAAGCATTCTGAAACGACCAACTACAGAAGCAATGGAATCATTTCCTCAAAGTGTTTTGTAAAAGATTATGAAAAACTTAAGAGCTGCATTGTTTCTTGACAGTAATTTCTAACAACTGAACTTGAAGTTTTTAGAACTGATATGAGGGAAAAGCATGTTGCATTATTTGTGGTTCTTTCTGAATGAATTTCATAAATGCGTTCCAATTACTAATTTTATCTTGTATAAAATAGAGTTTCTAAGACAGAAATTTAAAGCTTCATCAAAGATGGCTTAATAACTGTAACTTTATATATTGGTGTTATTTTAAATACACAGAAAAGATAACAGAGGGTGCTGTACTACTTTTAAAATTTCAGTATTAATTCTTAAAATAAATAGTTCTTCCTTTCTGCCTCTAATAACTCAATGTTGGAATTCTACTAGAACTCACTTACCAATATCTGCTTTTACAAGGATCACAGAAAATTTAAAGAATTAGAAATTTGAGTAGTTACCATATGATGAGAATAAAAGAAATAAAAAGCATTATTTTTAGTATCACTTTTCTTAATATAGCAAACTAGGTACTGTTTTTTTTTTTGAGGTTAGGCTTGATCAAGTTCTGAGATTTACTATCATAAAATGAACACTGGTTCTGAAAATAAATCTCTTAACTAAAATGTATTCTGTAGGAGAACTTCAACACTTTAAGGTAGAATATAATCATATATTAAGTTCTCAGTTTTCAAAACAACAATTAGCAAAATATGAACATTCTACAAATATTTGGTGCTCTAAGTTTAAAAGTAACTTATTGTCAGATATCTATTAGCAGCACATTTAATTTTAAACTGCAATTATACAGAATTTTAATTTAGTACGTGGCAAGATATATTTCCTGGTACTTGTTTTTCAAATGATAAGCTCTATGAGTCACATATTGTTGAAACTGTAACAGCCACACAGTTTATATTTCAAACACAATCAACATGCATTCAAACACATACTACAAACTGAGACTGTTTCATAGGAACTGTGTGTGTGTGTCTGTGTGTGAGTACATCTGTAGAGTCTTTAAACAGGAGTGAAATTTTATGAAAACTTAAAAAAAGAAATTTTACTGAAATCTGAAGGATTTAATGTCTGATGTGTATTACGTACTATTGAAACAAAAAACTAAATCATAATTTAAGATGTTCACAATTTACCTTCTTGTAAACTTAATATTAAAATTTTGAATCCTTGGAAAACAATTTCATATGTTACACTTAATGTTGAAAAATTCTGAGACAATTAGTATTTATCATTGTTTTTAACACCATGACTTTTCCCTTAAGAAGATTAGGAAGAATAAGAAAGAATATTATTCAGTTTTAGGCAAAAAGCATAAAGTTTCAAAATATCTCAGTGTTTTTTGGTGTTTCTTCAACAATGCTCTTTTAAAATTCCTTTTGAAATTAAGTAGAAACTTAAGTAAAATTCCTTAAGAAATTAATGGCCTTAAATATATTAATCAAGCTTTGTCACAAATTTATGTAAAACTCATCAGTGTACAATGTTATTTGCTTAGCAGAATCCAATTTTTAGGTCAGGAATCACTTTTTCCCTAGTTGTCACCACCTGTATGTCCCCATCAAAATTATTTCACACAAAGTAGCAAATATATGAAATTGAGATAATTACTATTAATATTATAAAACCTCAACAAGGTATATTACATTAAATAGACTTCTCAGTCCTGGTGTTGCCTGACAGATATGTGATGTGCCAGTGGTCATATTATATTCCTCCTCCCATGCATGCACCTCCTGCAGAGACAGCAGACTACAGAAGCTGACCCTTACTGAGACCATCTTGTCTCTCTGACAAAGCTCCTTTTTAACTTCTCACTTACTGGTTACTTCCTGTGATGGAGAAAAACTTTAGCTCAGCTTGTGATAATTTCACAGGCCCTGAGGACCCTGACCCTAGTAGCCTCAAGGTCAGAAGTCAAGTCTTGTTCTGAAACATCTGTGTGCTTTATATTAAAGTGGAACAAAAGTAGAGAAATACCCACCAGTGTGTGACAAGAAGGAAAGGCAAAATAGGACTGACACATTGGTCATCTGTTACTCTGGCACCTTTAGCTCACTTTTAAAACTGCCTAATATTGACTTAAAAAAATTTCAAATTTGATATACAAAAAAGTTTTTATAAACTGTCTTAAGGTAAAAAAAAAAGTGGGAATTTATGTTTCATAGAAATTTTCAATTTGATTAGTCTTTCAGGCTTTCAGACATTTTAAGTTACGCTTCAAATCAATGAAATTTCATGTTTTAAGTAATTTAATGGGTTATGAAGAAAATATAAGCTACATATATGTGAGTGTGTGGTGTGTGTATATGCAGGGTTAAAAGAACTATTTGAAAGACAATATTCACATTTTAAAAGGTACATCATACTGGTGTGCTAGCTATCTTACATATTCATTACATATTAAAATAAATTCAGCAGAGCTAAAAGTACTTGAAAGTAGTTTTTAAAAAGTTATACAAATTTAAGAAATAAATGATTTAACTTAATTATTGATCTTAGACAGCATACACATTTCTGAATGTAGGTCAACTAAAGTACTCTCAGGTGTCACCACCAGTTTTATATCTAAATCATCTGGGTAAGCAATAAGGTATGAGAGGTTGAAAAGGCCATTGGAATATATTGAATTTCCATGACAACAAGAAAGGCACACCAAAGTTTAGAAACATAAAAGTTAGACAACCAATGCTGTGCCCATTTTTAATGTCCACATTAAGCTATTTGGATTCAAAACTAACAAATGAACTTAATCAAATGAATCCTTTTATTTTAGCACTGGCACCTTCCTGTGACATAGGGATTATGGAAATGGAGGCACAAAATCTTCATTAGTACATTTTTAGTATTGATTATATCTCATTAACCATTCATACTGGCACAGGGTGTGGTACTTGCAATATTGCATGTAATACAGAAAAATTCAGAAATCTTGATAGTTTTTTCTATCATGTACACATGATCTTAACTCTAAGAATCAGATTATTTTATAAGGCAAAGATTTTTATTGCCAAGCAATGAATTCTACTCAGAAGCAGATTAATGGAAGCTTTCTGATAGTTTTAATGCTAATTATATAAATTATGATAAAGGCCTACCTTATAGAGATAAAATTCAGTTAAAGATTATCAAAATCTTCTCAAATTTCCAAAAGGTCTCTTGAAATTTTAAACCCTTTACAGATAACATATGCTTCATTGCTGGACACATAAAACAGGAGGCATAAATATCATAAAATGTATGAGAATAGGCTATAATGTAGACATTAAAAATAATATGTAAATAAGGAATTAAAAGTAGAGTTAAATGTGTTCTTACCAGTTCAACAAAAGCAAGTCCTCCATAGCTATGAGCAACAAAAAATACATTCTCAGCTGCAGATTGGGTGATGAAATGGTCCCACACATAGACTGCATGTTCTTCGGGAGAACCATTTTCCTATAGAGAAAACAAACATCATACTACATACTGTATCTAATTATTATCACAGTAATCAAAAATTAAATTATATGATTGTTTACACAGCATAAGAAATAAGATGGTTTAACTTATTCAAAATAATATCAATACAAAAGAACTACATTGAAAATTCAAATGAGAGAATAAATGAGTATTAAACTATTAGTAAATTACTGCAAAGCTTAATTGCCACTGTAATCTTCTGAAACAAAAATATAAAAAAATATGCATATTTTTGAGAGGAAATTGTATTCTGGGTATATCTGAGATATTTAAATATATATAAGTACAGTAGAATTTCATGGCAGAAAGTTACAGCAGTCTTATGACAAAACAGTATAACAAAATATTCAGTAACATTTCTACATTTATATCTGAAAATATTTATATAACACACACACCTAAATCGTTTGATTTATAAAATTTTAAGTATCTGTAAGCTGAAAAGAAGCAGAAAATTACTAACAAATATGTTCTATCTAAATCATTTAAAAATTTACTTTTTATGTAAAAGCATTTTCCATACACATTTTATTTCTAGAAGTGGGAGAAATCTAAACATATAAACCCAGGGGCTTTTACACTTCTCCTAAGTTGTCAAACCCTAATAAATGTATGCATAATGCTTTAATTCCAAAAGTTCTACAATAACTTCACTGTGTTGCATTTATTTCTATTGCTGACAGATATTGTGGTTAAAGCAAAAAGCTGGACACTGTGAACAATGAAAAAAAAAAAGCCAAATTGCTAAGACATACTGATCAAAAACAAGCTGCTAAAAACTAAAACATAATGAAAATGTTTTGTACAAATATTTCTTGGATGCTTTAACATCAAAGACTAATTACCTGAAAATGTTATAGTATTAGACAATGAACACTATTTATTCACATTTTCCATCTTGGAAATTCATCTATCATTTTCAGGTCCATAGGCATGGCTTCATTTGCTACCTAGAAGCTATTATTCCCTAATGTGTATTCCCTCCTTAAATTTCTCTCTAAAGCTCCAGAGCCATATATCCAACTGCTTAATGGTTATTTCCTTTTGGGTATCCCACAGATACTTCAAACTCAACCAATTCAATACTGTATTAAAAATTTCCTCTACAAATCTGAGTTACTATCTTTGCTCCCCACCTCCAGACAAAATCTGAGCATCATCGTTTGTCTCTCCCTCAAACTCCACGTCACTAAAATCCTGTTGATTCTGTCCCCAGCTGTCCCTTAAATCCATCTACCTCTCTTCATTCTCATTTCCTTTGGCTTAGCTCAAATCCCCATCATTTCACACGTGGATGACTGAAATGGTCTCCAGCCCAGTTTCCCTGCCTTTAGGATTGTCCATTTAAATGCTCTAATTCTGTAGTGAGAACAAACTTTCAAAAACTCAAATATGATGTTGCTATATTACTCCCTCCCTGCTTAGAACCCTTCAGAGCTTTTGCCTTTAGGATCAATCTGAAACTCAATATAATACTTAAGGCCTTTTATGATCTGGCTTCTGCCTTGAACCACTGACCTGCAAACATGTTGAGCCAAAGACACTGTTACACTGTTTCCCTCCCAGGAGGGAACAGAGCAAATGATCCCTGGCTTCCAGTGCCAGGGAACAATCTGCAGTAACCTAATTGTGCCATACTTCTCTTGTCATTGGGCTATTTCTTTTGTTGAGAAAGTGACCCTTGTGCTCTGCCCTCACTTCACCTACCACCTTCACCCGAATAATTCCTACCTGTTTTCTGAACTCAAATCGGACATTAGCTTCTACTAAAAGTCTTCCCTATCATCTCTAAGGCTAGGTAATGTCCCACAACATCTTGTGCATGCTCCTATTATTGCACTGAATGATTTATATCGTAATTTCTTGTTAGATTATCAAATTGCTTGTTCATTAAATCTTACTGTAACAAATAAATAATGAAAACATAACATTTATCTTCAGGATGATTACTTACAACCTATAGTCATATACTAAAATACAAATATACTATCAAAGATATCTATATTAGTAACATAAGTATGAAATTACCCACACTTAAAGTATATAAAATAAACAGAATAACAACTGGAAGGAAATCCTTGCAGGGCATTTTTGGCTTTAATAATTTAGCTTTCATTAGTTTTAACAAGTAGGAAAATGGTTATCATAAAAACCGTGATAGTAGCAAACTTCTAATGAAGAGAGAGAGTTATGAATGGGAAGCAGACTTCTAGTGGCTGGTGGGATTTCACTTCTTGACTAGAGAGGTAGTTATACAAGTGTGTTCTTTATAGTTACAGTTCAACTGACTGATATGTATTTAGCACTTTTTATACACGTATCTAGAACGACTACAGAATTTGTTGTACAAACCTCTGAGAGTGAAAAAAGGCATTATTAATAATTGTAATGGGAGAACAGGTCTAGTTTGGAACTCTCCAGAGAAAACCCAGATACCTGGTTACCCTAGTTAATCTCACAATGAAAGAAATGTAAAAGCAAAACAGGAAGAGAGAGATAACAGTTTCAACATTCTAACAGTTGGAAGAATTAACAATCTAAAATAACTGTCATGGTCCTAAATATTTTTCCATATATTCAGAGAATAGAAGCATAAAGAGTATAACTCTTCTTCCTTAGATTTGTGCTGTAACCAGAGATGTAAGGATGATAAGAAGTAAGCCATGATCCTGGCCTTTAATGTGTTTCCAATTTCGTAAAGGTATTAACACATAAAGACATAAGAGGCAGTAGCATGTGAATAGTACTACTTTCTCTATTCCTGACTATCTTGACACCCAGTCCAATGGGTGCATTATAAATCCATACTATTGGATCTCAGTGACCTTCTTTCTTCTCACAGTCATCATTTCTTCCTTTAGACTGTTGAGATCCTATCTGTCCTATCCTTCCACTCCCACCTCAGTTTGGGTTCTCTTAAAATAGATTTCTAACTAGTCTCATTTCTTCTAATGTGTGTTGCCAGATCAATCTTCCTAAAGCCTGGCTCTGATAACCCACTTTCCTGCCTAAAAGTTCATTTACTGAAATGGCTCCTGTGGCAAAATAACTGAAACTTGTTACTCAACATCTTCTCTTAGCCTGTCTTCCCAGCCTTCCTTCTCACTAAATCCAAGGGCCTTATTCATACTCCAGGAACATCTGGATTACACATTAGCAGTTAGTCCCCTTTGATGGTTCCATTTAGGATTTTTTGATTTTATGATGGTGCAAAAGAGATATGCATTCAGTAGAAACTGTACTTCAAATTTTGAATTTGATCCTTCTTCCTGCTCTAGTAGTGTGGTGCAATACTCTTGTGAGGCAGCAGTGAGTCACAGTTCCCAGTCAGCCACGCCATCATGAGGGTGAACAACCCATCACTTGCAACCATTCTGTACTGATACCACCATTCTGGTTTTTACTTTCAGTACAGTATTCAATAAAGTACATGAGAGTCAACACTTTATTATAAAACACACTTGGTGTTAGCTGATTTTTCCCAACTGTAGGCTAATAATGTAAGTGTTCTGAGCATGGTTAAGGTAGGCTGTATAGTAAGCTATGATCTTGGCAGGTTAGGTGTGTTAAATGCATTTTCAATTTAAGATAATTTCAATTTAAGATGAGTTTATAGGACAGATCTCATCATAAGTGGAGGAAGAGTTATAGTGTGAAAACTCTAGATAAAACTCTATTGTGGAATTCAGTCTGGGATCTCACAGGTAGTCAGTTAAGATCAGACAAAAACTACAGGCAGGGAGCACTTCCAAGGTATTAGTTCAGTAATCCATATATGAGGTGATAAAGACTACAATATTACTCAGGGTGATAGGAGAGTGAAAGGAGAAGAAGGGATGGAATGCATCACTACAGAGGAAGAATCAGCAAAAGCGTATGACTCACAGGGTATGAGGAAAACTGCCGACCAAAGTCAGAGGACTGACGCACGACAGAAGGAGAGCTGAGGACCCGCAGTTCTTGTCATTCCTCACACACAGACACTACTGTTTTCAGAGATTAGAATTATAGCTGAGTCCTTTCCTCTACGGTTCAAGGAGACAGTATCTGCTAATAGTGGCCTGTACACAGTAGGATAAAGAAACCCCAAGTATCCATGTGCCTCATGTACTTAAATATTTCAGGGTGACTCTAAGGTCATTAAATTATTCTCTAGTTTCAGGGTTTCAGAACAAATCTTCTAAGAAGTGAGAAGCAACTGAAAAAAAGTCTACAAAATCCACTTGGGGGTCATTATAGGCACAACTAAACAATTACACAAGACTACTCTGGGGCACACTTGACATCTACTGACCCAAAATGATGCAGGGTAGGGATCCCAGTTTGCCAACAGGGTGGCATCAGGCATTCCTTCTTAGTGGGAGCCTCACAGCAGTTCCTGTAGCAGACCACATAGCCTTCCAGGAGTTACTCTCTTTGGCCAAGAGGTGTTAGCTCAGCAGTCAGGGAAGAAGACTCACAATGGGCAGATGCAAAAGTTATCCTGCCTTAAATGTCTTAAACCCCACAGGAGCCGGTACCTCTTGCAACAACTCTGTAGGCATGGCTTCCAGGGCGTGCCCAATTACAAAAATTATTACCCACAGGGAAGATCAAAACTATGGTATTTATAGTTCACTCTAATCCCTACTAATCCAGATGCAGTTTACCAATCAGGGGTCATTTTTTACCAAAGGCAATGTTGTCTAGTAACTATCCACTTAGAGTGGATGCTGTGGCATGCTTCCCAGACCTCCCTTTAGTTATATGGCATTCAGTTTCTGAGCTGTCCAAGTGCTGACAGCTGACAGCTTTAGCCAAGGTACTCTTTAGGAAATTACTCTCAGCCAAAGAAAGCTATCTTGCCTAAAATTACAATCCCACCTCTGAGGCAACCTACATCCATTGACTGTTTGAGATGATACATAAAGGCGATATCCCTCACCTCAAGGCAGAGTATCTCTGAAAAGCCATCACAGATGCAGAGATCACCAAGG